ATTTATATTTTATTTAAACAGACAAGAGCTGAAAAATCATTTGCACACTTATGTACACTGCTAATTGTGGTGTTTGTGTATCTTTTTCAAGGACAGTAGGATTTTTGAGACGACGTCTTTGTAATCTGAAAATCCCACAATATTTCTGATCAAAATCAAGTCTGTCTCACAAAGTGCTGTCTAGTTGGTGTATCTGTCAAAGGTATGAGCTCTAAATATTAAGTAGTTTATAAGTTAAACCCTCTAACTTTCAGGCTTTTATATTTGAAGTAAGAATGGTATGTTTTGGTTCACAGTATTACACAATACAAAAATGTATATATTAAAATAAAAAAAATATAGATAGATAGATAGATAGATAGATAGATAGATAGATAGATAGATAGATAGATAGATAGATAGAAAGAAATCTGGTCTTTTCACTCCTGAATTGAACCATATAAAATGATATTCCTAATGTTGCTGGGCAAAGCAAATGGGGGGTGTCGTTTATCTGGGCTGCTTTTACCCTGTGGAGTCTCTTGGTGGCGCCATTGCATTTGATTTTGATTTTAAGCAAGTTTGCATGAGCACAATGTTATAAATTAATAATGTGATGAATTATTTATTAGGGGCTGTTTTCTTCTAAATTTTATATTTTTATGTTGTCGATGTTACATACTGTACTTTATTATGTTTTTAAGAGCCAGAACAAATGTCTTACAGCGTGTTTGATATGCAAAAGGTACTAAGAGCATTTGAAAATGACATTTAATTATTACAATGTAGCTATCTTTCTATTTTGAGAAGAACAAGACCACACTGCATCCAAAAAATATTTGCAGCTCTTCACCTTTTCAACATTTTGTAACATTACAAGGGACAATTAATCTGTTTTCTATGGTAAGGGTCAGTTAAATTTAATAATTATAATAAAAAAGCTGTGTGTTTTGTCAATGAAAGATTAAAACAGTTTTAAAACCTGGTAAGAAAGAAAATTAAAAAAAAAATTCCACAGTTCTCTGCAAAGGTATTTAAAACCCTTGGACTGTATCACATCTTATGCAGAACATAAAATGTGATACAGTCACATTTTATGTGACAGTTATATTTCTTTCCTGAATATAACTGCGTTTAAAGAACATGCACACCACTGTAAAGTCCCGTTTAATGCTGTTTTAAATAACAACATACCAAATTTATTACCAAACCCCTGATTAGCCATAACCATCAGCCACCAATTAAAATAATTACACAAGAAATGAAAATTAATAAACAAAGGATGATTCTAATTTGTGCATATGACTCAAACTTTACCCAGTAAATACTGACTAATCTTTGGAATTTCCTGTTGCTCAGAATATAAAAGATTTTACTGCCCTGCAGCAAAGGGTTAACGCCACTGAGAGTCTTGCTTGAGGAAGTGTTAGGATAAAAAGTTCAAAGTACATTTTCTGTTGACTGAGCAATGTGTCACAACCTGAGAGAAAAATCAAACCAACTGAGTCTTTGAGACAGAGAACATGCAGGTGTTTGCATGCAGGTGAAATGTCATAGAAGAAATTGAAGGTGAGTGCTTCAGGAAACAAACAGCTGAGAGCTTTTTATGAATTCATCAGAGAGAACAATAAAATCAGGAAAACCGTATTCTGTACACTTGAACATAAAATATTAGTTTGTGCTGTTATAGTCAATAATACCAGGAAGGGAACTGCAATTAATATTTAGCAAGATCTACATATATCCTGCTGATATGTTAAAAATAAGCTAATATTTATTTATGATTAATATGTTGCTGTAAAAAAAATAATACACCACTGCAGGGATTTAGAACAAACCTGACCCATTTTCTTTTATGATATATCACTGATATGCAGTGGGTTGGAAAAATATTAACTCCCTCATAGATTTGCTCTTCTTGTCATCCTACATTTACTTAAATATTTCAAATAACACTCAAAGATAACGTGAGTAAATACAAAATACTGATAAAAAGCTTTCCAGACTAACCACTTCGTATTTGGAAAATAATTATCCTATTATTAAATTTTGAATTAACCATTTTCTGAGTAAAATAAGTTCAGTTTCTTCTACCAGAAGTATATTATAAGAAAAATCTCTTAAATGGATCCCACTTAACAGTATGAAGTAGGTGAAAAGGATCAAGTTTTCTTTGGATCTATGGAAAACCAAGACGAGATAAGAACCAAAGTCATTAACATCCATAAATGTGGAAAACACTGCAGTGAGAGTGAGAAAACATGAAACAATGAAACCGTCTCAAGTTTTGAAAACTGAGAATTACAATAAAATAAACATTTACCTTAATAACAAGAGTCAGATCGGTGTAAGAACATCCTGCTAAGCATTCTGGGAAATAGTTCCCACTCTTGTCTTCTTCTTTCAGTTTTTTAAGTGGTACCCTAAAAACTCAAGTTTGTTTATTCTTAGAGGTTTGACAAAATGAATAAAACCTAAACACAACTTATTACTGTAAGTTTATCTTTCATAAACTCACATGTAGGTTCAGTCTAAAACTCACTAAATGTATTTGACTTAAGAGGTAGAAGATAGTTGACACAACTGAATGCAGCTCAAATATTTTACAGTGCAAGAATATGTGTCACCCAGTGATTACAGAAAATAACATTTAAACCCTCTTAGACCTGACATGGCTCAGTTAAGGTCAGAGTTCATGTTTCCACAACACAGAAGATGCAGTCCTAACCTTCCCTCGGCTCCTGAATCGTTTCTCTCTGAGAAAGTTCAGGTCAACTGGCGTCTGCACCCATCAGTAGTTGCTTAAACCTGAGTCGATTTCCAGCTAAGTAATGACAATCATGTTATCACTTGGCTGTTGCTGCAATTGCATGCACTGCTGCCTGACCTTAATGACAGGTACAAGGTGTGGCTTTGTCTCAGTCAAAGAAATGATTAAGCCTGATGAACAGGAACACAACTGATTTGCGTTTTACAGCCGTTTAGTGTTGTTCTTCTTTGGGTTCTGAGTTGACGAGGATAAACTGTTCATTTTATTCCACATCTGCACCTAAAATAAAATAATGCCTTCTTTGTATGTTTTAAATTTACTCTCAGGGATAAAAAAAAAAAGTGATTAGAAAAAGTAAACTGTTTATTTACAACACCAGTACTTCTGTTTTTGGAAAGTTTAGTTGATATAACAGTCACTAAACTGTGTGTAAATAAAACAAAATAGGATAAAAGTAGCTCTGATCCTTCCTCTAAAACAGGTAGATGCAGATGGGACTGACTAAATTATTTGTGATCTTCAGGTTTAAGACACAGCAGATAAAACATGCCCACTCTGGAGTCACAGTCTGCGAGTTAAAAGGTAAAATAATTTTATAGAGCAGAACTTGCAATTCTCTTCTCTGTCTACAGGGATGTTTGTTTATCTTGATCTGGACTCATCTCTGCACATTTCCTGCTTCCTCTGTCCTTTCTTCAAAGTTTTTTTTTTTTTGGCCTGATCTTAAATCCCCGATATTCTAGAAAACATGACGTGTTTTCTAGTTGCATTCGTGTTTCCCTGGAAAATCTCAGACTCTTGCAACACTTGATGTCTCAATACCATATGATAATTTCAGCATTCTGTAACATTGGTACACATTTTGTATTGTCTTTAAGATCATTACCGAAATCAAAACTCATTTAACTACAACTTCTTTCGTTTACTATTTTAATCCGATTCATAGTTGCTCACTTCTGAAATCAGACAATTTTAATACACGTCTATTAACCTGGTCCTTACTCAGCTCCTCAGAGTGGATATGATTTTTTTAAAATGATTTTATATGTAGAAATAAGAAATGGTTACACATATTTCTAGTTATTTGTTGCCTGGAAACTGAACTTGCTTCCTTATTTTATAATCTGTAGTTTCTCATTTATGGTTTTGTGACCTTTTGGCTGTTTGCCTCTTTGTATCACACTAACATTACTGTGCACATCATTGCAACATCTCACTTTGTCTTCCTTTTAATGCAATAAAAGGAAGATACATTATTAGATACATAAAGAAAATGACCAAAACAGTGTTTACATCAGCATAACTTAACTGATTGCACTGAAGCCTTATTTTATTGTTAGTTCTAGATGTTTCTTTGTATTATTAATTTCAAATGATGACTTCTAAAAGTCTAAATAGGGACTGGCTCTTGTTGTGGCGTTCTTTTGCTGCAGATAAAAAATAGATGACGTCAATATATGCGTGACATCTTAAATGGCATCTTAAGACATTATTCAGGAAGTTAAAACTGGAACAGAAACTCCAAATGGACAAAAACTCAAATCATTTGTTACTACATTTATCTGAAAATGTGTGTGTCTGATCAAAACTATATTCGAATCAGACCTAGTTAAAGCATTTCTACCAAGAGAAATTAGGTAAAATTTCAGTAAACGACTGTGAGAAAGCTGTGGGAATGTTTGACACAAACTCATGCTGTTCAAAAAGTCATTATTCTAACACTGCAGACCAGGTTGATGTTGTAAACATGAACTAATCTGGTTAGATTAGATTAATATATACAGGGAATATTGATGTGTATATACAGGGAATATTGATGTGTATATAAACTGCTGACTGATGAAAATAGTCCAACAGCAAAAGTTTAGTTTGACTCGATATCAAACAGTGAAAAAAAGTTTAGTTTTTCAATTGACTGAATAAAAATATTACATTTTAACTGTACATTTAATAGGTATTTTTTAAATTTTCGCTAATTTATTCGTGAACGTTTAAGTTTTAACTTTTTGTAAATTGAAATTTAAACATGAAAGAGATTTTTCTGATGTGTTTTTTTTTTTTTTTTTATGAAACTTCCATGGAAATAAACCTGAAGGTTACAGTGAAACAAGCAGCTATAAATGTGTTTTATTGCTCTCCGGGAATTTTTTTCGCTCTTTGTTTGCGTTAAAAGGTCACTCTATGTGCTGATCAAACAATGTGTCACCTCCTCTATCTGAGAGACTCCACCCTTCTGGAGAAATCCATCATAAATTTCTAAACATCAACGATTCAGACTCATTACTGTCAGGACATCTGCCACAACCCAGGTAAAAACTAATTTATTTCCTACTTCTCTTTACTCACTTATTGATTAAAAAAACAAGTTTCACAATTTAAGAATAATGTTTAAACTTAAGCTAAAATAAAAAGTTTTAATTAATTCTGCTGTTAAATAAAATCAAGCGATAATGAAGAGAAACCAGATGAGAAAGATACTTTAATTGCAGCACAGCGTTTTGTATTTTGCCCTCAACATTGTTTTTGCTCTTGAAAAATGTTAAAATCTGCAATCCTAACAAAAACCATAATTTTTTACTAATTTAAGTTAATTTACGAAATTGTTAATATTCAAGACTAATTCATCAAAAGTTACAATTCTACGAGATTTTGACAAAGGATAATGTTTCCTGTTTTACTTCAGGGTATTTCAAATTTTGTGCTGAAATTTACTGTATAGTTAGATGTAGAAAAAAGAGGAAGAAAGAGGGGAAGAGAGATGCAACACAGCTCTTCTAGTCTCCTGTATATATTTTTTTATTTTCAGCTACTTGTGTCTTTAAAATCACTTAAAACAAACAGGTTTTCATTTTGATGGGAATATGAGTAAGTAAATAGAAAAACAGTGCTGAATATTGTTTAAAAAACCTGATCACAATGATGAAAGAGCTGAAGAATATAATATTTCTGCTAAAAGCAGTCCTTGAATCTTGATCACAATTCAGAATTTAAAAAAAGACCATAAAGCACCCAAACCAGCTCAAATATTACATATTTGATATAAACTGTGTTAGGTTTCCTTGTTGTGACGATAAAGGTGTTAAACTTCAAACTTTGTGTTTCCCTGCAGTTTTTGCTGTGATGTCTGGCTTGTCTGTGTTGTGTTTCCTGCTGCTGCAGACTGGAGCTCATAGTTTTGGTGTATTTAATGGAAAGTCTCTGAGCCACCAAGCCATCACAGAGAGAGCCGCCCTAAATGTCACAGTGCAGGTGTGCCGCAGCCTGGCTGTGTCTGAGGGCAGGGATTTCACTTCTCCTGTAAGAACCAAACAAATTCACCATGTCTTTTTACCCCATTTCCAACCCAGTCAGGTTCTGTTTTAATAAAACAGTGTCTATGTCTATGCAGCCTCAGCCTTTTACTGCTTCATCTGTTGCTGCTGCCTGCGGAGCATCAAAATCCTTAAAAAGCTTCATCGAAACCATTCAGCGGATTCAGAGGAAGAACTTGCAGACGGACATTAAATACGCCCTGAGCGCTCGTCGTCACTGCGACAACGAGGAGCTGGACGAAGGGAAGAAGATAGTCACAGATGGTTTGTCGGTCGTCAAGGCCTCCAACAAGCAACAGAACTTTGTTTCAGCAACATCGAGTCTCGGAAGGATTCTCCACACTTTACAGGTATTTCTGAATGGTTTCCAACTAAAAGTCATGGCAACTAATTCTGCTGGTTTGAACAAAAGATTTTACTTTTAATCTTGTCCGTCTGCTGTTGTACAAATTACACTGAGTAGGAGAGGTTTTACTTCAAATAATTAAAAATATTCACTGGTTTTACGCTATACTTGGTTCTGCTGTCCACTTGTGGAAGAAAGCATCACAAAATGAAAATCTTAAAGTGCTTTACTAAGTGGTTTGTGCACTAATTCTGTATTTCTGAATTGAATTCAACACCAGAGATGAAAGCTGTAATTTTGTCTCTTGTTTCTTTGAAAATTAAGGATTTCTACAGTCACAGTAACTGGGTGGAAATAGGCCACAAATTCCCAAACACCAACTTGATCAAAGCGAACGCCCGTGTTGGAAACATAGCAGGTAAAGGCATGATGATACTGGCTTTTAGGTGTGTTTGGTGTTTTATTTTGCATTAATTTCTGCTCAAACTTATCTGTTATTTCTGCTCCACTCTGAATCTGCAGCTAAAACCAGAGCAACCTGTCTCAGCTGTAATGGAAATGACTGCAGAAACAACATTCGGAGCGACATTCTGAAAAACAACATACTTACTTCAGGATATTTCAGTCTGAATCCTTTTGCCAAGCCTACAGGTAAAAATATTTTTATGTGTTGATTTTTTAAACTGACACTTTTTGTCATTTCTCTGACTTTGCACTGTGATGGTGCTGCACTATATTTGGTCTGATCTGATTTTTTACCAGGTCTTAAAATTGTTTTCATCCAACTTTGAGAAAACACACAGAAAATTATTCATTTATTAAACTTAGAAGAAACATATTTGGTTGCAATAATTATTTGGTGCCTTTAAAAAAAAACCCCTCAAATTTAACCAAATTATCATTACTATATTTGATTAATCTGATAATGTTATCAGCTGCATTATTGCTCCAAAAATGACATCTGACCATTTGTAATTTTTAGGTGAACTATGTGTGATTTTGCTTTATAATTAGCATTTATTAGCTAATGTAAAGCACTGTGATGCTGATGGATGTAATTTGGTTGAAGACAAGAACCACTCATTTCTGCACAATATTCACCAAAACGAAATATTATCATAAAAAAGCAAGCTTAGTTTTCTCATAGCAACAAGATCTAACATTGCATGAAAATTCAAATACTACATTGAAAGATCATTCCTCAAAACTTTGAAAGTATTTTTCCAGGAGCTTTTGCTGCCTGGACTGTTTTTAACCTCATATTTGTGCTTTTTTGGGTACCTGTACATTTCTAAACCCAGTAATTATACATGTTGTACACTGGTTAAATCATTTGTGCTCTTTCTATGATGACAAACAGGAAAATGCAGCCATGGTGGTGTACCTGATAGTACAAGTTTAATAGAACCAAAAGGTGGAATCAACAAAGATACGCTGGACTCCAGCCATGGACACCTTCACTCTCAAGCAGCCAATATGGCGATAGCAGCAACCAGTGAGCTGCTGGAGGACGTTCGCAGTGCAGCTGGGGACAAAGCATTCTTTGAGTAATAACTTCAGTAGATCTGGGTTAAATTATGCCATTGTGTAATTTATAAAACTGATTTTTGTCTATTTTTGTTTGTCATTCCTCAGTATGATGGGGCTGTCCAAAGGGAAACCGCTGTGTTTTGTGGTCGACACAACAGGAAGCATGGGGGATGACATCGCTGCAGTGAGGGAGGTCACAGCCTCCATAATAGACAGCAAGCTGGGAACACCAGATGAGCCGTCGGTTTATGTTCTGGTTCCGTTCAATGATCCAGGTACAATCAGTGTTTCTCAAACCGTTTCAGGCTGAGGACCAATTAACTTGAATGAAATTAAGATATTAGTCTCTCTATGCACTTATTATCATTTTCTTTGTTCAGCCAAACTGTTTGGAAAATGTGACTGACCACGATAAAGCCATGAACATTTATTTTTGAGTTATTTACAGATTCCGAAGGTGCGGATTTCCAGTGATGTCAAACACATGGAAATAATAATAAAAAAAGTTGTTCTTTACACTAAGTGTTGTGTGCCAGAAACAAAAATCTCTTTCACATCATTACAAATAAAATTATCCACCAATTCAATAGTATTTAGCTACTGTACATAATTTAATCACTTTTAATTAAATAAAATAATTATTGATGTCCAAATCTTATTCTAGATAATATATTATTATTTTTTAATTATGTTCCATTTTCTAAACTCCCCAGCTTTTCTTTCTAGTTATTCCTATCCCATTGTTCTTACCAGTTTTGATATCACGCAACGTCACGGCAAATAAAAGGTTGTTTACATGCAGTACCTTGCCGACCACTAGGGGCGCCCGCGGACTTGTTGCAGTCCGGGGAAAGCAGTTTAAGAAAGATTGTTCTATACCCTCTAACACTGCTTTCAGTTATTTAGTTTTGGTTTAAGATTTAAGAGTTTTGGGGGATAAAAACACAGAAAATGTCTTTGTTTTTCATTAATGTGCAGATTTTGGGCCACTGATACGGACAACCGACCCAGAGATTTTTAAGGCCTACATCAACTCACTGAGAGCAACTGGAGGTGGAGATACTCCAGAACTGAGTCTTTCTGGACTTCAGGTGCTTTGTTTGATGCTGCAAAACTGATAATATATGAAAAGCAAATACTAAAGCATTCCTCTGTTTCTTCATGCAGCTAGCTCTGACTGGCGCGCCTCCCAATTCTGAGATCTTTATTTTTACCGACGCTCCGGCCAAAGACAAACACCTGAGAAACCCGGTGATTGCACTCATCGAGCAGACCAAATCTGTGGTGAGTAATTCTGCAGAATCAACTTAAATTCTGTTGATCCAGTAAAAATAATCAATCTGAATGATATAAAAAGAAGATAGCATTGGCCCAATTATCACTGTCACCAAACAGATTCAGTGTTCTTATAAACATCTTTGTGACACTTCAGTAAAGGGCAATTTCACCAAATATTTCACTCCCTTCAGCATCTTTTATGAGAGAAAGCAAAAAGGCAAAACAGGATATAACAGCAAAATAATGGAAATTTCAGAGAAGGAAGAGTTCAGTACTTATGTGGTTCAGATGCAAAAAAGAGGACTGAAATTGACCTTTATTGAAATTTCACAATTCAAATAAAGGTTTCACAAATCACAAACTGGATTTTAAATATTCTGCTGTTAGTTGATAATAATCTAGTCCAGGTTTCAAGACTCTAGGTGCTGTAGTATTTTAGCTTGAGTAGATTAAAGATGCCAAATGTAGCAAAATATTTGGTGGAATCGCCCATTTCCCGTATCAGAAACCAACTTCAGCTTTATTACATTTTGGTTTGTAAAAAGTCTCAATATCTCCAGGTTTAATGGTTCCTCATTTTGTTTCAGGTGAACTTCATGATAACTAATGTTCTCGGGATCCGTCAGCCAGCAGAGGACAACCAGCAACAAAGCTATCGGATGTCGAGAGCAGACGATCAGCTGTACAAAGACCTGGCTCAGACCTCAGGAGGTCAGGCTGTCGAAGTCTCCAAAAGTAATCTGCTGGAGGCCATCAACATACTAACCGAGTCCACCAGCTCCTCTCTGGTAGGAAAACAAATTAAAATCAAATTGTTTTTTACTTTTAAAGATTTCACCTGCCGAGTTATCTTCAATTTTTCAGGTAACCCTTCTGCAAGCTTCCAGGAACCCTGGAAAAACTGAAAACTTTGCCTTTTCAGTTGATCAGTCAGTGAGAAATTTGACAATTTACATCACTGGAAGTAATGTTGAGTTTACGCTCATCGATCCCTCAGGTCAGCATTAAAAAGGTTTCATAAGTTGTACCAACTTCAATTGCTTTTTTTAACCGGTTTCTATAATTTCTTTGTCTAGGTGTGGTTCAAAATAATGTTAATACGTCAGGATCTTCAATCATTTCATCCCAGACGGTGGGAAACCTCCACACTGTGAAGCTGCTGACGGTAGCTGGAGTTTGGGAAATAAGAATAGTGTCAAAAAATTCCTACAGTCTGAAAGTTGTAGGTAAGACTCTGATTTTAACTGTTAAATGTTACAGAATGATTGAAAAAGTGGTTAAATAAAAAGGTCAGATAACTTAATTCATGGTATTTTTCTGCGTTTACAGGAGAGAGCTCCATTGACTTCCTGTTTGACTTCATTGTGGATTCCGATGGTCCGTTTGGAGGATTTGATGTAATTGACAATCGACCCACAGCTGGTAATGAAAACACAGTTTGGATCTATTAAAAATTAACCGGCTTTGGATAAAAAAAATGTTTCTTTTCTTGTCTTTGAAGGACAAAATGCCAGTCTGCTGGTGACTCTGTTTGGAAGTGACTCTGCCACGGTGACAGAGGTCATGCTGGTTGAATCGTCGGGTTCTGGTCAGGTTAACGGCACTGTGAAGGCCCAGGGTGGAGGAGAATATATCGTCCGCTTCGATAGGATCCCATCGGTTGAGTTTGTTGTGCTTGTGAAGGGCCAGAACAACAACGGCGTCTCCAGAGCTTCTTCAGGGATCTTCCAGAGACAGTCAGCCACCAGCCTGAGAGCCTCTGGTCTCACTGTCACTGTTGTAAGTGATGCAAATAAAAAGCAAAACCTTTAAATATGTAAAATAAACCAGTATCTCTGTTCTTGTGTCTCAAATGCGCTCGTTGCATAATTGTTTTAGGATGAGTTAGACATCGTGGTGGAGCCAGGAACACTAAAATCAGTTCATTTCTCTGTGATGACAACCGGCGAAGGAGGACGCTTCACCATTCAAGCCGCCAATGATCAAGACCTTACGCTGTTTTACCCAACTAATTTACTGCTGAGTGCTGGAGGCAGCGCCAACGGGACAGTGAACATCACAGCTCCTGCCGATACGCCGTCCGGTACCGTCGTCACGCTGACCATTGAGGCCGTGGCTCCTGGAGGTGCAGACAGCAACTATGCCGTGCTGCATCTAACCGTCCTGCCAAAAGTAACACGTCATTTTGTTCTTCATACATTTTAAGACATCATTGTATGATGAAGAATTAGGGCCATGCTAACAAAAATTCAATAAAAATTACAATAAAGTCATAAAATTATGAGAATAAAAATGTACAAGAAAAACGTCATAATGTTTTGAGAATAAAGTCAAACTATTACTAGAATAAAGTCGTACTAGTATGAGAATAAAGTCAATGTTGTGAGAAAAAAGTCAGTACAAATAGAATGAGGTTGTACAAGAATAAAGTCTAAATAATACAAGAACAACATCATATTTATAGAATAAAGTCATAGTATAACGAGAATAAAGTACTACTAGAACAGTCATAATATGAGAATAAAGTCAATATTGCAAGAATAAAGTCATAATACTGTTAGAATAATGTACAACAATAAAGTCAAAATAATGTGAGAAAAACATTTAAACATAAAGTCATACTATTACTAGAATAAAGTCACAATGTTATGAGAATTAAGTTGTGCAAGAATAAAGTCTGTAATTTGAGAATAAAGTTGTAATATTATTAACATTACATCATCCAAACTGATCATTATTTTCTTAAAATCCTGATTGTTTGTTTCTTCTATATATTTTTTATATTCATTTAAATATACTTATTATTTTCACTGCCTTCTAGAGTTGTTACTGTTTACATTTTGTTTTGGTTTCTTACACATTGACAACAAGTCTATCTTATTCTCATAACCTTGTATTTTTGTATTATTTAACTAGCATGGCCAAAACACTGCCACATTTTTGAGGGTAAATATTGATATTTTCGTTGTCACTCTTTTACAGGTGACTGATTTCACTCCACCAGTGTGTAAACAACTTAGCCCACAGAGCAGATGCTCTAAAAACTGCGACCGGTTCATGTGGGAGGTCTCCGTCCAGGTGAGCGACGGCGTTAACGGGACGGGTGTGGACAGCGTCAGTCTCAGAGAAGGCAGCGGCTCGTTGAACATCACCAAAGCAGCTGATAACTCAACGCTGGTGACTTATGTGGCTTCCTGCTGCTCGTCTAAAATGCAGCTGGTGGCTGTGGATCAAGTAGGAAACGTGGAAATCTGCAGTTACTCTGCTGCATCTTGGTCCTCAAGAGTGGATTACTCAGTTTTACTTTTCTTTGTCTTCACATTCCTGAAAGTTTCCCTGTAGCCCCGGACTGTGATCGTCTGAATTTTCCAACTTATGAACCAGGTTGGAAAATCGGACCCTAACTAAATGTCAGCTTTTTTTGCCTTTTCACACAATTGAACAGAAAATTAAGTTTTTGATTTCAAAACCAATTATTCTTACACAAAACAGCATCTATGTCATGCCTGAAGGTGGCACCGATATGGAAATACACCAAGGTGTTTTCGTCTGAACTTAAAGTTGAGTGTTACAGCTTTTTGTTTTTTTATTGTTTTTTATTATTTTATTTTATTTTTTTAGAAATTCTTATGTACAAAACAATTCAACTGCACATCCAATTAGAAAACCTTCTGTAAAAATAGAATAAACTTTAGGTATAAGAAACACTGAAACCTGACCTTGCTGCACACACTTTAAAAGGTCAGGGTTTCCCCTGGTATAAGTCTGGCGGGTCACCAGGCTTTACTCGTGTGCCCACCAGACTTAGCATTGATTATTTATTTAAGTCTTTTTAAAATGTTTGCATTTTTAAAACTTTATAGTTGGTGTTCAGGTGTTAATCTTCCAATCTTTCAATGACATAATTATCAAGTAATATTTTATAATTTCCTGTTAACTTTAACTCAAAAACATGGCGGGCCGCTGGATGAATGACTGCTCTGGCACACAACCACCGGGCTTAGCAAGTTTTCTGGAGGAAACCTTGAAAATATGTTCACAGTAATAAACTTTGCATTGAGAATATCTCAGGCTCTTTTAGCTCAAAGTAATTTCATGACAGTCTTGGTCAGACTGTCAAACAGGATGAGATTTCTGACATGGGGTTGGAAACAGCATCATGGAGAAGCATTGCTGTGACAACATGCTGAAGAAAGAGTGTCAGAAATATTAGGACTTTCTTAAAGAGACAGACACCAATTTCAAGGCATCAAATGCAAAGTCAAAATTCTTTTAAGTTTGATATACAGCACCTGACAACAACTGAATGTACTTGATTGCACTAGAAAACAAACTGTGTATCTGGAAAATACAGTTTTGGCTGCTAGACATTGAAACGTACAGAAATCATACATGTATCAAATGTTTTTAATATATCAAACACCCAGTGCTCATACTGCTCAATACTAACAATTAAAGAAACATAAAATAAAAACAATCTGTGGTCGAGGCTTCATCTTTTACTGCATGTTTGTACACATTGTTGATAATTATTGAGTCAATATAATAAGTAATATATTTCAATAACTTGAAATAAGAGTAGGATTAAATAAATGTTCACTTCTTCCTACTCCTTTTCAAACAGGATAGTAAAGAAATTATTTATTCTTGGTTAAGTATGCACATGTTTTCTCTGTCCTACTGGTTGTTTTTAAAAACCTGTTTGAAATAAATTAATCAAAATTAAACTTAAAGATGTTAAGTTTAAGTTTCTCTAAAATACTGTCAATACATTTTTACCTGACGTTTTTTGAAGGTTTTGAGCTGAAAATGTCAATCATTTAATCCTAGAAAATTGGTCAAAACTGTTTAAATGAAAAAGGAAAAAAGAAGGAAAAAAAGGTAATTATCTCATCCATGCTAGAAAATATTTGATCCCTGACTCAGACACAAACACACTGTGTTCATATTGTACAGTGTTTTGGTTTTGGTTTGTTTCAGTCATTTTCTTGTCTTTTCTCTATTATTCACTTTTCCCTCATCCTGCCACTTCCACAGCTGTTCCCAGTCACCTGATCTGATCACCAGTATCTAATGGTTTTGCCCACTCTTCCCTCCATATTTAATCCCACTGGTTTTTGTTGTTCTTTGCTGGTTTCTTCTCCTGTCATGTCTGTTAAATTGCTCGGCTCGCTGCCTGTGGTCCATCACTTTTTGTTCCTACAACTTTCCTTGTAATTTTCCCTTTTTTGTTTATTATTAAATATATCCAGTGAAGTTCTGTCTGTCTGTCTGTACTTGTTTTTTTCACAACCTGCAGACCATGACAGCCGATGGAAGCGAAAGAGAAAAACCCGTCTTCTTGTCAACCAACCGGTTTGGTCAGTGTTTACGACCAGATGCATTCCTAGATGATCAGACAAGTTCAAGGAGAAAGTTTCAACCTGCCAAGCAGGAGAAATGTGATCTTGTCTTTATATCAGATATGAAAGGGACACTGAATTTCCGTGATCCTGTTTTCCAATTCAGAAAAAAACTGTAATTTATAATAAAATAATCAGTTAACATTTTCATTAAAGCTGAAAAAAACTTTACAAGTAGATTTAGTTCTGGAGAAGTCGGATGTGGAGGTGAACGGATCAGTCGTTTCAAGTTTTCCTTGCCTCATGACAAATAGATTCATATTTTTACAAGATGATGAAATTTAATATTTAGCTTGCCAAAGAGTTTTGACTCCTGTCACACTAATGCATAATGCTTTTTTGTTATATATTGTGGATAAAACGGCAGATGGACTGAACAAGTGCATCATATTGCAAATGCAACTCAAATATCGCTGCAAAGATCCTACTTATTCTCATGCTAAACTCCCATTTTTTGGTTTTAATTTAATTAATTCAAATTAAATGTTTTTAATTAATGTCTTTTACTAAACCTTAAAGCCACATTTCTAACCCTCAGATTTCCTTATGTACAGCAGCAGCAGGGGCAGTGTTTGGCTATTCTTTTAGTTACTGGTTAAACTTCCATTAACTTATTTTTCCAACATCTGAATAAAGTGAACGTTGTTCTCTTAAGAAACCAAAAGTGGACATAAAGGAATCCTGCTCAGTGGCTTTTGCATCCTGTAACAAAAGAGAGTGTTTACTAAACTTTAGGTCTGGCACCTGCCTGCCTGCCTGCCTGCAAAAAGGAAGTATTTGATATCCACCCCTCTATCAATCATCTATGAAAATACGAGAAGAATGTAAATAATACAGCTGTGGTTTGAACAATGATTAAAAATGAAAGTAAAGAACGTGAACAATGATTAAAAATGAAAGTAAAGAACGCCGTTACACTATTTTTCCCCTCCTACTTAACAGAACATAAATCAAAAACCTTTGTGTCTGAATAAGTCTTATTGACTATAGCAGCAAATTTCATGTCAACACTTAATTTCCATGTCAGTGTAAAATAGTAATCCCAAGGTGCAGACATGACGTTTGCATGATGGTGTGATTAGAAGTAACCAGCAGGACAAGTCCAGCGTGACTCCGCCCTGAAGCTGACCCTTACAAGGTTGGTGTTGACAAAATTACTGCCAAGTTTGCTGAGCAAGTTGCAAGGTGAGTAGGTTTTTCCTTTAACGTCTATGAAAGGGATCCGACATGAAGGACACTCTTATCATGGAAAGCTAGAATTGGGATTCATTTCTGACTTTCCAAGATTAACATTTTATGGTTTGGTAAAGCTTTTAATCATCACATCCAATAAATACTTTAACGGTTTCAAAATGGCCTTTTCAAAGTGATTTAAACTGTTTTGTTTAGGTTTTTAAAGTTGAGCTTAATGGTACCAAAGGAACCGAATAGAAAGTGTTCATAATCTTGGTAAGTATGTGGGAGACAAAGTTCGTGCTTAAAGGTTTTAAATTTGGAGCAGGAGACTCTTTGTTGGGTTTTTCTCTTCAGTTAATACGATCAAAACCAATTTAATTTCATCAGTAAGGGACAGTTTAGGTCACCCTTAAATTTGTGGACAGGTTAATGTTTAACAAGACAAACAGATTTTGGACGCAATAAAACAGCCCAACATTTTGCTTTTTTTTAACAGCTTAGACTTCAACTATAGTGAAAATTAAAACTCAAGTCTCTGAATGAAAAACCATTCCTGGTTTGCATCCTTTGCAAGTATTCAGCAGAAATGTTTAAGGATTTCCACAGTCACTGGGAGGAGCTGGGAAACACGATCCCAAACTCTAATCTGATTAACGGGTTGAGAAAAATTTATCCTAACAATTTACGTAATGACAAAACATTTCAACTTGGTTAGGGGCATTTAACTAAATGACACTGAAGATATATACTGATGTGAGCCTGAATAAATTGAAAAAGATGCACCAATTTTTTAATTGAAATGTCTCTGAATTTGTATGTTTGAACTATTGTTGAGCTTTTAAAAAGATTAAAACTGACTAGTTTGTTGTGTCAAAAGTGACTGAAGATCTAAATTGTAGATATTTGTTTCCTTTCAGAAAATTGGAGCTATGATCCGCTCGGTGTTTGCTGTGCTTTGTTTCATCCTGCTGCACATCGGAGCTCAGGCATTTGAAATTTTGCCTGGAGATTCTTTAAATCACCAGGAAATTACAGAGCAAGCGATTCTCAATGCAACTGTGCAGGCATGCCGCTCTCTAGCCCAGACTGAAGGAACAAGCTTCAACAACCCAGTAGGAATACACTTACATTATTCTTTCTAGGAACTGATCTCTTTTGGTAACGTGTGAATGTGCGTTTTCAGGCTCAGCCTTTCACTGCAGAAGGCGTTGCTGCTTCCTGCAGCGCCTCACAGTCCTCGAAGGCTTTCCGTCAAGCCATCACATCCATCAAGCTGAGGAATATCAGAGTGGATATCCGCTATGCCCTCAAACCGAGCTTCCACTTTGATGAGGAGGAGTTCGTTCAGGGAAGGAGGATCATCACAGATGGAATGGTTGCTGTCAAAGCCGACAACAGGATGGGGAATTATGAGACCGCAAGGGAGAAACTGGGAGAGATCATGCATCCTTTGCAAGTATTCAACATCATTTTTACTTTTTTTTTAAAAGGTTGAAATCTTTGTGGATTGACTGCTAATTCTTCTTATCAATGTTAAAGGATTTCTACAGTCACAGCAACTGGGTGGAGTTGGGAAACACGCTCCCAAACTCTAACCTGATTAAAGCAGAAACCAGCATTGGCAACATCGCAGGTAAAGAGATGGCATGAGCTGATGACCCTGCAGAATGCAGTTTGTATGAAATGGAGTGAAACCATATGTGGTTTTACTCCATATCAGATCAAAGCAGAGCCACCTGTCGCAGCTGTGTTGGCAACGACTGCACCAACAACATTCTGGAGGACATCATCGCCGGACAGATCCTGACCTCTGGCTACTTCGGGCTTCTACCTTTTGTTTCAACCAAGCCACCTGGTAAATTCACATGCATTTCAATATATTAATAACCTTTGGAAATGTTATTTTTCCTTCTTGAATCCAATACTTGGGTCATTGTCCAGCTTTGCCAGTCACAGATTACAGATTTACAAGTTTAAGAGGAACTTTTACCTTGCAGCACTTCTCTGACTCAAAGATCTAATTGTTTAAAATAGAAAGTGCTAAGAGGAAAAATGACTAGTTGAGTTTGCATGTAAACTGGTCAAATAATATATTAATACTTATAAAAAAGGTGTAGGAATATGAGGTGAAGTTTTAGCTGGTTGTTCTAACACACCACAGTAAACTGGTTTATTTGCTTGAGATTTAAGGTTTAAGAAACAAACTTACATTTTAAAATTTGATTTTTTTTGTGTGAATTCAAGCGTTCTTGAAAGGATCCTGCTAGCTTTAAGGGATTTAAGCGGTAATTACTAGACTTTTGTTGTTTTTCTGCTTTGGTTTTTTCCCCATTCATGTTTTCCCGAAGCGATCTGCTCACCACAGCCTGAGGGAAACCTGTCAGACCTCTGCTGCTCTGGGTTCAGCAACGATGTACATCTGAACGATGAGATCAGCTGACTTACCAAGCAAACTCAGATGGGTTTTCCAACACCGACCAGTTGTGCTTTTAGCCCTCCGATGTTTCAAATGCAATTCTAAACATGTGGGTTTTTAGTCTAGATTTAAAGGCACTCGGTGTTTCAGATGTTTTGCAGTTTATGGCTTCTATTTTCTGACATGATGCTTAAATCAGCCATTTTATTTGTGACATACATTAAAAGATACAATCTCCAGTGGACTTTAAAATCTCTTAATTTCACCAACATACTTCTTCTAACAGAAAGTTGTTTTTATGTGGAGCTAAAGGTTAGAGGGCAGGAGACCTTCTGACAAAGACTCAAGATAGTCAGAATACCAGTGGAAACATGCAAAAACAGACATGGGTTTGGTTACTGTAATGCCAAAAAGTATCTTTACACTAATGCAAATGTTCAATTTATTTATTTGTGATGCCTGTAAAACAAACCCAACTGTGTAAAAGTACTCAAACTTTTGTTTAATCAAAGGAAAGTGCAGTCATGGAGGATCAGTCGATCAAACCAGTAAGATCGAGCCAACCGGTGGGATTAACAAGGATTCCTTCCAGTCCAGCCACGGACATCTCCACACGCGAGCCGCAAACCTGGCAGTAGCTGCAACCAGCCAGCTTCTGGAGGACATCCGACTGGCAGCTGGAGACCTCTCCTTCCTACAGTTCGTTTGGTTAGATGAATTTTTTTGCGAAGCGATAAAAGCTGGGTAGCTCTTGAATTGCTACACAATGGAGCCATGTTTCCCTCAGCCCACTGGCTGCAATGTTGACACCTTGAGACGCCATGAGACCTAAATCCTGAACATCAGGGCATGGAGTACATCCCAGTTTTCCATGTCTGGCATATAACCATTCATTTTAGCTTTTAACCTGGTTATATTGATCCTGTGTCCAGACAGAGGGATAATCAGTAGCCTAGCATCATGACCTGTTTGTTCTTTAATAAAGTTATGAGCGTTTTGATAAGGAGTCAGAGGAGGACGTGCTGGTCTCAACGTCATGGCGGCGTTCAGTTTGTCACCTAATGCCGAGATTGGCTCAAAACCTTCCGCGATCAACGTGTTGCTCCTCTGCTCTAGCAAAGCACGAACAGTTCAGAAACCATATGAAATGGGGGGAAAGCTGTTTATTAACTGATTAAGTCGTGTTTTAGTAGTTGTTCTTGAAAAACTAATCAGTCACGGCTTGTAGCAGTCCCTCAGACCCAAGAAAACACGGAGAGCTTCGACGGGTGCAGTAGATTCGTATTTACTTATTTCGAAACCAAGTTGTTGAAGTGCACTGAATACACCGTGCTTCAAATACACCGTGAAAACTAAAGTAAAATAAAATGCATTTCCTTAAGTGCTTTTGTTAGACACAAAACATGAATACGTTATAATAATAACGCTAACTTCACAGACTTATAGCGCTCTAAACATGTACCTCGCTCCGCTGTCCAAGTGCTGCAAAGTTTATGGCGGTAAAGTCCGTGCTGTGCTGCCTTTAGCCCATACATGTCCAAAGTCCGGCCCGGGGGCCAAATGCGGCCCGTGGTCAAATTTCATCCGGCCCGCAGCCTCTGTCATAAAATCAATACGTCTGGTCCGCACGTAGAATTAATACATTGGGCAGCAGTACTGTTACCTGCATAGGGCGTAGCTTACACTCTAAATGCTGTTCCTCATTTACCCACTAGAGGGCAGCAGCCCATGTGACTCAGACCATTTGCAGGTGGAGCTCATTGAGCTGCAGTGTGACGCAGAGAGCCGCGGTCGGCACCAGCAGTTTTCTCTCGCGAACTTTTACGACAGCTGGATAAGGACAGGTTTCAAGAGATTCGAGCATTTGGTAAGAAAATGCTAAGCTTGTTTGGATCAACGTTAGGGTTGCCACCTGTCAGAAATCAAAATAAGGGACTCGTCGTCCTAGTCTCATAGGGGGGGTGTGCGCGCTGCGCTTCGACTAGGGTTACCAAGGGACCAGTCCCTATATATATTTAAAGCCGGGAGATGGAGGGGGGACTGCGGCAGTTGGACGCAATATCGCAACACCGTGAGTGAAACAATCACTGGGGCAGCCTACTATATAAAGTACTCGGGGACCACTTCTTTGTTATTACACATAAACATTTGTAGAATACGGAACAAATCGCGTCCCGTTTCGGTTCAGTACGGGACGATTCC